AAAAAAATTTTTTCCTCAATATAATTTAATATTATTTTCCTGCAGGTGATTCAACATGTCTGACGAGGGAAAGCTCTTCATTGGTGGTCTGAGCTATGATACCACAGAGCAGTCCTTGGAGGAGGCATTCTCCAAATATGGATCAATTGCCAAAGGTTTGTCTTAAGTAATTTTTAAACTAGGTTTGTCTAAATTCTTACAGCATTATTCTTGATTATGTGGTTCTTTTTGCCTTAGTTGATGTCATCAGGGACCGTGAGACCGACCGCTCCAGAGGCTTTGGCTTTGTTACATTTGAAAATCCAGAGGATGCAAAGGATGCCATGGCTGCAATGAATGGAAAGGTAAGATTGACGCATTTAAGGATGGAGAAAATTGTAACCAAATGTTTTAAGGTTTATTTCTAGGACTGAAAAACAGACTATTTTGATGCCTAGATGTGTACTAATCATTCATTTAATAGTGAACTGCAGAAAGTGGGTGGAGGCCTGAAATCAGTTTTTAACCATGAAATGCATCTTTTTTGCAGTCTGTTGATGGCCGCATGATTCGTGTTGATGAAGCTGGCAAATCTGGTAGACGGTCCGGTGGCTTCAGAGGCGGTTCTGGAGGTGGCAGGGGGTTCTTCAGGGGTGGTAGAGGTTGGTGTTAATGTTGAATGCAGTTCAGTGTTTCCCATGCCATTATATAGGGTGGCCCGCCCCCCTAAATATAAAAAATTATATTTTCTTTATAGCGCCAGATCACAACAGAAATCATTTAAAGTTGCCTTTCCTATAGAACAGGTATATACCTTGTTCTTTTATTAAGCAAACTAAATAGCCTTATGTTATTTCTTATTTACACGATGGCATGTCATTTTGATCTCTACGTTATGGTCGCGCTCTCTGCATCATGCACAGCGGAGTTCTGCCCGATGCGCGCGCACACAAGTGAGCCCACTCCCACTAGTATTTGTAAATATTAAGCCGCAAAACGATTCATATTGAAATATGAATTCTGCGTGTCTCGGTGTTAATGAATGGCGCAGACCCGCGGTTTTGTTTACTACTCGTACTGAAACGCTCGTGACGCTTGCGGTGATATTAATGTCTGCTGTCTCACTAATGAGGACATAAACACATGAACAACATCTCCAGAACTGCTCTGAGAGTCACTTCATGAGCATTTGACTGTTGCATTTGAGTAAAACTAACATGTCATACACACACAAATGTAAAGGTATTCACGGCAACCCGTCAAAATAAAAGTTTGGTTTAACTTGAGGGCATTGGCAGAAATATATTACTATTGTTGTGTAGACTGTACGTAACAGGCTGCTGCTACTACTACTAAAATTAAAACCTTATTTAAGGAATAAGCATTCGATATTTCTTCAATGTTTTAATTGTAATATTAAATGACCTTTATTTTCCAAAAAATTAAATTTGTTTAATTTTCATTACTTAAAAGATAGATTAAATTAATGTTTTATGCCTTAAAACAATGTAAATACACAACACAGAATTTCTGAGCAAAGAATCATAAGGCTATTGTAAGAATAAATGAAACTTGTTTTATGCTTTCAAATAATTAGACTTACTAAAACAGAATTCGGTTACAATAAAACAAGTTGGAAAAAACATTTCATAGGGCCCTAAACATGTAATACTAAAACTTTTAATAAATTGATGTTAAATTAAGTTTCATGATTAATTAATTTGACATGCTTTTTGATTAATAAAATGTAATTTAACGCATTTGGCTGTAGTTGGCTGCATTTGAAGTAGTCTTGGTGGCTTGTAATTACCATGACCAATTTGGTGGCCCACCTGAGTTGTTGCATCTTGAATATCTTGCATGGGTTTGTCATTTCATCTGTGCGTAACTTTTTTTTTTCTCTCTCCTTCCTTCCCTAAGGTGGAGGAGGATACGGTGGTGACAGGAGCTTTGGTGGCGATAGGGGCTATGGCGGAGGTGACCGATCCTACGGTGGTGGCGATAGAGGCTATGGTGGAGGAGAGAGAAGCTATGGTGGAGGTGACCGATCCTACAGCGGGGGTGGTGGTGGTGGATATTCCAACAGGAGTGGTGGATACTCTGGTGGCAGCGGCGGTGGATACAGGGATAATAGGTGAGGGATCTTTTACAAAAGGAGAGATTGTGCACAAGGAATAATTTTATGGTTATTGTTACCGTGAACACTTTAAATATGGCAAATATTACTTTTGGTTTTAGGAGTCAGGGGGGATATGACCGTTCTGGCGGATCCTACAGAGACAGCTATGACAGCTACGGTATGTATTGATTGTTCAGAATTACACATTTTTCTACACCATTACAACAGTAGATCTCAGTCCACTTGTTTTGTCTTTAGAATAATGTCTAGACCTAAGCAGAGAGACAAAACTGCCATTTTCAATCTTGAGTTCAGTCTACTTGGTTGCCTTTATCTTGGAATTGCTGACCACAGTCCAAAAAAACATTTTACAAAATTGGCGACTAAAGTAGGTTTTGTGCACTTGATCAGAATAGTCAATAAGACCTTGTTCGAAAAGAATCATGTCTTGGTGTCAGTTCACTGTTTGGAAAGGATGTTCACAATGCTCCAGTGCCTTTACACTTTTGCCTACTTCTTGTCCTCAGCTTCACACGAGTAAAAAAAAAAATCCTGATTGCAAGATCATCGCTTCGCTGGCTGTATTTAAAAAGATGCGCTCTTGGAAGACTTTTTTATTTTTATTTTCTTTACGTTTTGTGTTCTGGTTCAAATGTTCTATTAAAGACAGACTCCTTTTTTTACCGTGTCAAGTATCCACAGGATGTTCCTCTCATTGAGGAGCTGCCTAATGTCCATGAGCATTCAGTTACTGTAAGAGTTTCAAGTTCTGTGAGGCTACCTGTATCTGCCATTTTATCTTGCGATTGTGTTATAGATGCTCAGAGGTTTGAAATTGCCCTTTTGTTGTTTTGTTTTTTGTTGTTTTGTTTTTTTAGTATGTGTTTAAGAAACTGTCTCTGAAACCATGCGTGAAAATTAACCTGTCCAACACAGCCTGATAGCTTCTAAAACCAATTTCCTCAAAGATTTTTGGACCAATTTCTTAATATCGGCTCATTGAAAGTGCTTAGGTGGGCATTTGCATTTAAACTATTTTAAAACGGCAGTTTCGCCACAAGAAAATATTCTAATCTGATCCTCCAATAGAAGCTTGATAAGCTGTGATGTGTTCTTTATGGCTCTTTGCCGCCTCCATTTTGTGATGCATTCCTTTAGTGAAGCAAGGCAGGCATGTTGCATTGGAGTTGACTCCAGCAAACCTCCTTGATATTGCTAAAGATTTGTAAATATTCATTATCCAAAGAGTAAACCACTGAATTGGGTCATTCCACCTCACATTAGGAGTGATGGCCCAGGGTACTTTACTCTTTGTGCAGTCTAAATTTACTTTTTAAAGTATGCTCTACTGTGGACTGAACTTGTCCTCTTAAATGTCAAGAATCTGTTCCTCCCTGGAAAGAAATGTGCTCTGTTCTGTATATCAACGCCTCAGAATCCCTTTTTTCTTTTTGTATTAATCTGGCTTCATGAAGCCCATTAAAAAATGGTTGGAAAATGCTCTTTCGTTTGCATTCGATATTTAAAAAGCTCCATATAAACCAGATGAATGTCTTGGAGTGGCTAGCTGGGGATTTAGCATTTGGGATCTTAAATATTTTTCATTAGGCAAATACAACTTAGTATTAGATAAGCAAACAAACAAAGATGATATGGCAAGCAATGGTTCTGTGTAATGCTTCATTGGATCCAAGAGTTCTCTGCTAGCAATTACGGAAATCATCAATGTCCTTGGAGAATGAAGTGTTGTGCCTTCCGACTCAAGAATCCTGAGATGAAAGCTGCTCTCTTGACTAGGTCAATTGTGGAGATAGGCCTGTAATGTGAGGTAAAACCTTTTGCTCTCCTGTACGCATTCTACAACCGTTCTCATTGTCCATGTTTTCTTCGAATGTTGCCTCGACCAGTGACTATCTCCAGAATCTGTTCAGTCCTGATCCACAACCTAAGAAACACTTCCTGTTCCCTGTTTTTAAAAAAAAAAAAAAAAAAAGCTGCATGATCACTTTTTTATATATATATATATATTTATTAATTAATTAGTGCGCTGGTGTTTGGTGGAAAGTACCTCATGTGGCCATTGAAATGAGAGATTTTAAGTCCCTGTTCTGACTGCTAATTTTTATTTGCCCATTTTAAAGATTATTTTTTGTCCGTATGTCAAAAACTGAAATTTTTGAAGAGTCTTGAGTGATTCACTAAAAATGTTTGGCCCTTTTGTTTATAAACAATTTTGTACCAATTTCTTGCACTTGTTTAGTCAGTGTTTGTGTAGTGTCTTTTTGGACGATTTTTTTAAATGCATGATTTGTTTTATTTGTTTCTCTTCTGTATAGTAAAACAACTTTTTATTTTTCAGACTGACACTGGACTTGTTGCATTTGAAAATTAGAGGAGCAAGCTGACCTTTGATGAAATGAATTCTCTTTCATGGCAAAGATTAGAGGTATGCATTTGCTTGTCAATAACTAAATAAATCAATAACTATTATTTTGATGTGGGTAATGGTCTGGTGTTCTGTTGAAGATTGATTTCTTCAAACAATGTTTGTGGTATTAGAGACTTTATTTCTGTTTGATTAGTATTAATTGGCTAGTTTCTTTTAAGATGCGTGTGCCTTTTTTTTTTTTTCTTTTTCTTTCTCCCTGACAAGAACTTTGTTACTTGGCTTTGCTTTTTCAGAGCTCATGGAAATCCCTGCTCTGCAGATGAGCCCATCTCTCCCAAAAGAAAGCTAAGAAAGTGTTGACACTTGCAGAAGATGAAAAATCAATCTTGCAACTAGATTAAAATTTGATTGCTGTGTTTTGCTGAAAGCAGTGATTCGGTAGAAAGGTGATACCTTTAAAGGCTTGAGAAAGACCAATCAATTCAATAAAGTTTTTTTACACCCGTTTTGTTAAGTACTTAGCGTTTATTGGCATGGGGTTTTTTTGTGCATTTCTGTGCAGTACATTTACCACAAGGTGGCAGTGGTGGCCAGCTACTGTACAAAAGCCACAAATGAAATGCTCAAGGCTTGAGTGAAAGGGTGACAAGTTTTTTTATTTCTTATTTTATATATATATAAAAAAAATTTTGGAATAGTTTATGGCATTTAATCATGACAATTTAAACATTTAACAGATTCATTCATTGATCAGTCGTTTTATTTTTCCATTGCAGTTTAATCTAATTATTGATTGGTTTTAAGGGATGTTGTCTTTACAAGAGAAAGGAAAATGTCTTTTCAAGGTTTTATGTCATTGGATGATTAGTAATTTTCCATTGCTATTTCTTGTGATATAACAAAGTTAAGCATTGAAACATGAGCAACATAGATTATTCAATAAACTTAATTTCTGTGTTGTCTCCTGCTTTGTGCTCTTCTCTGGCTTCCTCAGTGAACTTTTTGGCTGATAGAAAAATTAAAATAGACTTGGGTACTAAACTAATGGCGCTTTTCCACTGCGTGGTACGACTCGGCTCGGTTTGCGTTTCCACTGCAGTACAGTACCGCTTTAGAGTGAGCGGGATTATTCACATGTCGTTATAGTTGCGCCGCCTCTACTACCACGACTCCTAAAAAAAACAACTTTCATTCCGCATCGCCCCATCAAGTTCTCGCTGGATCCGCTCCTCTGCTATCAACGAGAGGAATGTCTGTTCTTCCGCAACAGAAAACTTTTTGGTTGTTAAAAAAAAAAAGGTGCGCTCGTTCAAAACAGTTGTGTTCGATCCTTCGCTGGCTGTGCTGATTTAAATCCAGCGGTTCTTTTGTGTTTGTGTCGCAAGTTCAGTGACGCAGGTAGTAACGATTCTCTCCGGCCAATCCGTGATCAGCAGAGTTTACACGTCACGTTTTGGTAACTACGGTTCACTTAGAACCTCAACCGAAGTGGTACTAAAAAAAGTAGCAGGTACTGTACCCAGTGGAAAACCGCCATAAATGAAGTAAAACACAAATTTTAGGTTCTAGACAATAATTAGTGTAATCAGGTTTCAGGTAACAGACAAAACACTGCTGATGGAGTTTGGGTTTCGGCATTGGGGGTTGGAAAAAATGTTCCTGACCTGGAGACTTGATCTATCATTTCTGGTGTTGTAGATGACCTCATTATGCTCTGAATCCATGGAAGGTAGTGGGAGATGTGAGTGTACACTGTGAGGTGGTTTGCATTTGGCTTTTTTTTGGAAAATGACAGTTCCCTGTGCAAAACCTCCACAAACAAGTGGGGTTAGTCCATATTTGACCCAAAGTTGGGTTGAAACAACCCAGCATTTTTTAGAGTGTAAGAGTAAAAGAGTAGCCTATTTAAAAGTACTCATGATGAGTAGTGAGTACTGAGCTGAGGATTCTACCCCCACATAATAAACGCTGTACACCGCAATTTATACATTTTAAAAACGTACATTCTGTAATTCACATTATCTTGTTTGTCATAAAGAATGAAGAGTATCTATCATCCAGCAGTTTTAATTTTGACTGCCAACTCTTTAAAATACATCAAAACATCACGGAAACAGTATTCAGTTTCAAAGATTAAAGTTATTCTCAGTACAATGAATCATCCCCATTTAAATCATAAAGTTTGAAAAAATAAATTTAAAATCATGTGTAAGGCCACTGAGACAGCAAGAATAATGCATTAAATAGCGAGTTATTTCTGGGGAAACTTTTTCAAAGGAAAATACACACACACACGTCTCTTTGCTGAGTCGCGGCGGTCTCAGTGAATCAGCAGCATCCACAACTGAACAGAACAAAAAGTGTTGAACTTGAAAATTG